TACATTTGTGTTTTCTATACGGATATTCATGTTAATAAAATCTTTACTTTTATACCTTTGTAGTTTTCTTTAAATGGCCATTTTTACCTTTCATGTACTCTTATTCTGTTTTGAATGCAGTTTCTTTATAGATTATCATGTCCATACTTTTATGTTTGTAGTTTCTTTATAGATTATCTATGAGTTCTAGCTTCGAGAGTTCTTCTGGTGAGAGTGAGCAATCAAGCTCTAATAGTTCTAGTTCAAATAAGACTCATGCCACACTTAAGATGAGAGTCATACCCGATCCACCGGCATCATGGCATCCACCAGGCAGTCTTCCTACCACATCACGTAACGGTAGTACATCACATGGCTCAGTTTCAGCTAGTACGTATAACTATTTTCATATTTTACTGAACTATTTTATTTTTTTATTTTATCATATTGATTGAGATTTATTCCTCTATGAATAGTATGATTCTTCTTTTTAATTGATTGCTCATCAGTGGTTCAGTTGTGATGTTGTGGAATTTTTTTTGTCATATCCCCAAATAATGAGAAATTGAAGATTCAGGGTCTATTTGGATCTTGTTGTGAATCTATTATAAATTGGCCATAGTTAGGAAGAAGGTGCTACAATGAAATATGACAATGCTTCTCCAAGTTGCTTCACTTCTGCTATAGAAAGATTGTGCCATTTCTTTACCATTTGTTTTTAAACATAATTCTCTTTGTTGTTCAATGGAGTTTTAGAATTAAATTTATGTATTGTTATTTACTTTTCAGAACCAAATGTATACTCTAAAATTGTGTTTTTGTGAATATAATTGTTTAACATTGCTACTGGTATTGTATCAGGGGGAGTTGGTACCGTTACCGATGACATTTCTGCAATTTAATTATACTTCCTGGTTTATGCTTGCACAATTTTGATTAGATCATGTGTTTATTGTAGATTGTATTCCCTTTTAGTACATGGTTTTCTTTAAAATATCCTCTAAATTGCATTATGCAACAATTATATGTAACACATGCACATGCACATTTACATTTTCTTGTTGTTGCAGTAGTGTATATATATATTTATATTTAATCAATTCTTTGGCCTCGTTTTTTTTTTTTTATAGGTCCTAGCTCAAGTCAAGCCACACAAAAGCAGACAAGGGGTCCCACATATGTGCATGGTCAATGGGGTACTTCAAACGATGGCGTTTTAAAACTTGTTTCAAATGAGTTGAATCAAGTAGTTGAAGGATACACACCCCTTACTTCACATTTGGGCGTTTTGGCGTGAGATGGGAGTCTTGCACCACTCACTTTTACGACTTGGCATTATGTCCCACAACAAAATAAAGATAACATATGGAGGGAGATAAAGGTAATACAGATATTTAATATGAAATAAGTTGAAATGCATATTACAATTGGATTCCATATGAAATGCATATTACAAGTGTAGTTGACATTGCATATTACAAGTGTGTATAATTGTAATGCAGGCTCACACGAATGCAGATGATTCCATGAAGAGAACAATAATGACTTCATTTGGGAAGAAATTGAGAGATTGAAAAAGTGGAGTGAAAAATATGGGATACACACCCTTCAAGAATGATGCAGAAATGTTGGCTCATCGACCGGATAGAGTACATGAGGATTAGTGGCTGGCCTTGGTCTACTATTGGGGCATTTAGAGTGCATTGGTACAATTTTATATATGTGAAAAAAATGTTTATATATGATAATTTTTGATAATATCTCAAATGAATTTCATATTTAACAGAAATCAAGCAAGAAGAATAGAAAAATCCGGAAGAAGAAGACACTACATCATAGAACAGGCTGAAAGCCTTTATCGGTAGTTCGAGTGAAGGTATAATTAGACATTACATCTTGGACATATTTTGAAATTTGTTAAGTTTATAAGTTAAACAACTTATAACTTAGCTAGCTCAACTTATAACTAAACTAAATCAAGTTTTTATCTAACTTTTATTTACAGGAGACAAAAAAGAACAATGAGGTTCCTGCTAGTCGACCACAGGTGTGGATGGCCGCATACATGAAAGATGGTACTTCCAATAGTGATTCAGTTAATGAAGTTATGGTATGCGATACTACTTTATTGGACTTTTAATATGATTTATATTGGATGCTAATTATTGAATTCAAAATTGCAAACTCAAATGAATGAGCTAACGGAGCACATGGAGGGATCTTCTTCGGACCCTGCTGCATTAAATGAACAGATTTTCACACAAGTTATGGGCCGGAGCGACCTGGTCGTGTTCGGACGTTTGGATTAGGACCATCCCCCACTGATGTTTTTGGAGGTAGATATAGGCAGTCACAAGAGCAAAATCATATCTTCCAAACTTGAGTTCAAGAACAAGTTGAAGAGCAACTTCAACGGTATCAAATGCAGTTAGAGTCGAAGATGAATGACGTAATGGAGAAGCAAATTCAGGCTATACGCACAGATTTTCAGTCACGAATTGAGATTTTGGAATCTCAATTGCAAGCTACTGGCATGCCCGTTGCACCAGTTGTTGCACCCTCGAACCCATTACATAGGCAGCAGGTATTTTTATTATTTTTACTAGTTATTACTTTAAATTGCCCAGAGCTACTATACAACTTAAGCCTCTTATTAAATGATAGGTTGTTGATTTGCTTAGTAGTCATCCCACTGTTCGGCCAATGTCACATCAACAAAAATCTCATGCATTTTCATCCCAAGAGGTAAGCAATCATTTAATCAAAGTTTTTTTAACAATATAATATCTTATTAATTAAAATACTTGTTCTGATTAAATATAGGTTCATCTTTCAAAGAAAGAGAAGAAGAAGAAGAATAAGAAGAAGAAGAAGAACTAACCAAGTAAAAGTACTAACATCACTAGTTTTCTAATAATCTACAAATAATTAACTCAATTGTGATATTAACGTAGCCGTCGGTGTAACAATTTAACGGCAACTCCTCAACGTACAAAGTTTTTCATTTATTTTGGAAATCTATGTGTTTGGTGCAGATTCTAATTATAATAAGACTACTCCTTTCTTAAATCATATGTAAATTACTTGTCATTTTTCTCCCCTTTTTTCTGAATGTTATTTTGTCTGTCTAAATCAATTTTCTCATATTGCAGCTATAGAACTTATGACCAGATCTATTAAAGTGATGATGGAATCAGGTTGTGAAGAGGTATGCTGTCAATATAAGAGTTTTATGCCTTAAATTATAAATTTTATTATGACAATTAGTCCTTCTTGCTTTCTCATCTCTTTGTGCCTAAAGCTGAAACCGAATACTGTTCTCCAAGACACTGTGAGAGAGAGAGCTGATCTATAACTTAAAGTAGAAGAAAATCTTGGATTCTTTTACTCTATAATGGTTAAATTTATTTTTTTATATATTTTTTAGGGAGGGGGGGTGTTTGAATTTATATAACACATGTTCATATACATTGTTTTTAAGTATCACTGGACTAAAATACTAGCATATTCCTGTTGCTAATATTACCGAGCTATTGTGATTATATGGAGGGGAAAAAAAGCTACTGGCTAATTCAAAACCATCAAAATTTGATAATTTTCATTTTCTTCTTCTTCTTTATGTGTGTGTGCATGTTTTTTGTGGGGGAGTGGTTGGGTTTGTAACTTTATAAGGGCAGGAGACTATTTTTAAAGGGACTGCAAGTGGCTTTCACAAGTATGGTTTATTCTTCTTCTCCTACACTGTGTTTGGAAAGTGTCTAAGAAAAAGAAACAGTGTTGTGAGAATGTCCAACACACATTAGCAAACATGGTACTTATTGCATCTTAGTTTATCTATGTAGTCCTCAATTTGCTAGATAATTATATTCTAAATTTTCCTAGGTGGAAAACATACTCAATGCTATAAAGAACTAGATAAATTATGTGGGTACAAATTAGTTGAGAAATTAGTAGTAGTTTTGGATTTATGCAAACTATAGGGCAGTACCATAGTATCTGAATGGCTGCTTTAAGATGGCAACTTCTTTGAAAAACTTGTGTGTAAGAAGAGTGCTCATATGGGAAGGTTATGTGGGTACAATTAGCTGAACCCGGGTGCTTCAATCTAAAAGCTTGAGAGGATTTCAACCTTGCAGAACTTTAAGGAAATGTTAAATTATGGTATTTGTATGGATATTATAATCAGCCTGAAGGTATGGAATCCGCTAGTGGTTTGGATGTGTACACCTATGAAGAGCTGGAGTCTATCACTATAATATTCCCAACTTTTCATCTAGAGCCAAACACACTCTTATGTTAAACTCCATTTAGGATATCTAAACCCAACTCCAAACTTGATGTAGGTGTGACCAAACACCCCATTTCAACACAAAAAAAATAAAATAAATAGAAGTGCAGATTTTTTTTTCTTCATTGTCTTCATTCTTCATTCTCTAACTTCTCTCTACTTTCTCTCTCATTTTCCTTTACTTTCTTGGAGGCCAAACACCACACCTTTGCTCCACCCTTACACCACCACCTTAACCCACCATCTCCACCACCTCCGGCCACCTTATCTCGCCGGAAAAAGGGTCCGGTCGGCCACTCCTTAGATCCATCCGAAAATAACACAATAGAAGCACCAACTCTAGATTTTTCTTAATCTTTTGAAGAATCAAAGCATGGGGTTTACTTTATTGATGGATTAGAGGCTTCTAATTGGTAAGAATTTTTCTCTAAAAGTTTAGTTTAAGGTTTTACATATTTTGAGTTAGAGATGATGAAATTTTTGTGTTTTAGATCTATTATGATTTGGGGTTTGATTGTTGAATTTTTATACTCTCAATTAGTTTCCATGAATGTTTTAGATGTTTAAAAAAAAAATGGTCAATTTGATGGTTGATTTGGAGATTAAGATTTTGGGTTAATCTAGGGTTTGAATGTGATGTAAAAATTGGGGATTTTGGTGTTAGGGAATTTATATGTTGAAATTGATTTGATAAATGGTGGATTGGGTATCTCTATGTTCTATGGAGGAATTTTATAAGTGATTGAAGAGATTTTACTTAAGTTGTTGAGTTTATACAAAAATGTTGATTTTTGACTTTTGTAGTAAATTGATGGTGGTATTGTGCATATAAATTGATTGGATATTTAAAAAGTTACTAACTCAAAGATGTTCAAAGGATGGGTGTTATGGAGATTGGATAAGTTATTTGTTTGGGTGATTTAAAGTTGGAGGAGTTCTTTAGCTTGCCATTCCTTAGCATAATTTTATTTAGGATCATTTTTGTAGATGTTGTAATTTTCATTGAAAGCTTTTCCTAATTTGAGATCCTATTTACTAATTGTTAGGATTGGAGGAAGGCATCTCTCCACCTCTTGGAAATTAATTTGTAGAGTTTCAAATCTACACTTTTGCTATTTTTGGAGGTGAGTATACTTACCATGGAAATTACCTTACCTCTATCTTTATTACAAAGTTCGAAAATAATTTTTGAATTAAAGGAAGTGAATGATACATTTCATCATGATATATGTATAAAAAGAAAATCTATAAATTTATTGAGGCCAAGGGTTGAGTTTTAATAAAGATACGATTTCATTTGTATAATGAAGCATTAATTTTTTATGAGAATTTATTTAAGTTGAGTCTTTCAAATTTTATGATGATGATGATTGAATGACAGTGAAATGTTATGTGAGGGTATTTATTTTATTGATCATATAACCGAATATAGCCTTTGGGGCCACAAGGGCCAAAATGCTTTGGGGTCCTGGGGACCGAAATGTTTTAAGGACCATAAGGGTCGTTGTATGTATAAGGGGTCCTGGGGACCGAAACATTGAAACAAGAATTGAAGTGCTACGATGACATGAGCTATGCTCCTATGGTTATGTTCTGGGTAACGGTACCGTCACCACCTAAGTCGCGAGGTAACGCGACCCTAAGGCTATGTAGTGGATTGTATGATGGACATGAAATCTTAATGTATTGAAAAGTTATATTTTTGTTTACTTTCATTATCCAAATGCATTTTTTTTCTGCCTTATGAGATTCCTTGGAAAAAAATCTTGATAACGTTTTATGAAAATTGTATTGCATCATTTTATTTTTATTTTGTATAAATTGAAGTCCAATTAAGCTCTTATGTTTAGTATCTTTATTTTGAACCCTATAGTAGGAGCAAGTTTTATAACTCCATGGTATTGGTATACTCATTGGGCTTTAGCTCATTCTTTTAAATAATTTTTTTTCAGATTCATAGACTTTTGTGTGGCTCGCCTCAACTTGGAAGACTAGAATTTTTGAAGGATCACAGGTGGGCATCTTGTGGTTGAGGTTTTGCTTAGGGTCATTCTAGGATGTAAGCTTACCCTTTTTTTTATGAAGGAGGTTGATTGTAAAAATTGCTTATGAAGTTGGATGTATTGATGGATTCGTGATTAGTATGTAATATATTTTTTTTTGGGAGGAAATGCTTGGGAACTATCTTGTAGCATGATAATATTTTTTTGTCTTTCAATAGATCATCTCATATATGTTAGGCAATTGAAAGGTACTATAGCGTTTGAGGTGCACCCTCTTGGCAGGGTTTTGCCTTGCCAAGATTGGGTCGTTACAGCCACTACTGAAACTCCTGTTCATACTGCTACATATGAAGACCGACTTGAGGAATGGGACAGTAAGAATTACCAAATCATTACCTGGTTTCGTAATACCTCTGTTACCTCTATCAGTCTTCAATTTGGCCGTTTGCTAATTTCATTTCTCACAAAAAATGGTGAGATTTGGAAGAAACTGATTGTTTATGTATTTTTTCATAATACTAAGATCATCTATCAAAATACAAAAGGAAGGAAAAGAAATCGCATTCATATTCCTATCTCACGGGCTTTGCTTTTTTAAGTATATTATTTTGTATAAATTTAAGTCCAATTAAGCTCTTATGTTTAGTATCTTTATTTTGAACCCTATTGGTAGGAGCAAGTTTTATAACTCCATGGTATTGGTATACTCATTGGGCTTTAGCTCATTCTTTTAAATAATTTTTTTTCAGATTCATAGACTTTTGTGTGGCTCGCCTCAACTTGGAAGACTAGAAATTTTTTGAAGGATCACAGGTGGGCATCTTGTGGTTGAGGTTTTGCTTAGGGTCATTCTAGGATGTAAGCTTACCTTTTTTTTATGAAGGAGGTTGATTGTAAATATTGCTTATGAAGTTGGATGTATTGATGGATTCGTGATTAGTATGTATTATATTTTTTTGGGAGGAAATGCTTGGGAACTATCTTGTAGCATGATAATACTTTTTGTCTTTGAATAGATCATCTCATATATGTTAGGAAATTGAAAGGTCTTATGCATTTTTGGTGATGTGGTGATGTGATGTATGAATTATACAGGAATTGTGGTGTAAAGGTGCTATAGCGTTTGAGGTGCACCCTCTTGGCAGGGTTTTGCCTTGCCAAGATTGGGTCGTTACAATCACAAAGGGATTCAGCACTAAAAACTTTATCAGGGATACCCAATTTGGAAAAGTGTTCCGGGCAAAATTCAACATGGTTTGGGAACCCAAGAGGTTACAGTTAAAATTTGGGAAGATTGTAAGTGTGTACAATCGGAAGCCCCAAGAATCTCATTTGATAGTAAGTAGCTGAAAAGACTTTGATTGGACACAGTTTCTTATTGCGCTTGATGGTATGAAATCAAGTTACTGACTTATTCAGGCGTGAATTGGCTTCCAAACTTGGTGAAGTTGATTGGATATTGCTGTGAAAATGGACAGTTGGGTGTTGTATATCAGCTACAACCACTTGATACTGTAGAAAACCTACTCATACAAGGTGATCTAATTATCTAGTTTGGATTTTTTTTTAATCACTAGTTAGCATGCCTTTTCCTATTCAGACCTTGATCTGTTCAGAAGATTAAAAAGATTTTGCGGGCAAAAATAAAAAAAAAAAAATTGAAAATTTTGATCAGTTAAAACAATAGACCACTGTACTATTACTTGGGCACGGTGTTATGGTCTAAAATCTTGAAATAGAATCATTTGTGTTTGTTTATTGTATATTTACTAGCCATTTTACATTTCTAAATGATTTTAAGTGGATTGCTCGAATCAAGGTAGCACTTGGATTTGCACACACTCTTGAAGTTTTGCATAGGCGAGTACTCTTGCTTCGAAATGTTGATGGAAATCATATAATGGTTGACAAGGTAGGCCTTATCCTTTTTTTGCTCCTTTGCTGTGTTAGTATTAATGTTCTCTTGAAAAACTTTTTGAAAAAAGTTGTAAAGCTTTTATGTTATCTTGGCATGTAGGCTTTCAATCCCATATTGTTCAACTTCAATATGCTTGTTGGAGGAGTGTTTGGTGGAATTCCTCCGAAGGAATATTTTTGGGGGCGTTGTGCCCATGTGGATCCATACATTTGCAAGTCTTCTAAATGTTTGTTACATTTGTTTTTATTCTGTACTCAAAAGACAGCTGTTTGATTGTTTATTCTACCATTTCAGAATGTGCTAGACATCATTATTAATTTTTTACATGCTTACATAGTGATTTTTTTTAACTCGACTTTTTATCTCAATGTCCTAGAAATAAAATTGAAACCTTTTAAGAAGTTTTGCTGTTAGAGTTACTTTCCTATAGCAGTTTGAGTAAAATTTTGTTTTTCTTTCCAAAATTTTGAATTATTTGTTGTTTCTACAGACCAAGACCCTCAAATCTAAAATGATGAAATTATTTCCTTTTATTTATTTATTTTTTGGAATCAATGTTAGTTCTAAATATATTGATTGCATTATTTTGTTCAATGGGGGTTGTAAATTCTTGGAAAAAATTTAAAATTAACTAGGATTAATTACACTTTACCTTCGTATGATTTAGCTCAAAAAACACATAACCTCTTTGTAATTTAAAAATATACACATAACATAACCTTATTGTAATTCGGAGTAAAATATAAAGTCTAACACTGTCGATAACTTTTACGAAAAGTCTAAATTACCCTTATTTTGTTGTTTAATTTTCTTTTGTATGACATCACAATCCAATCTTTCTCATCGTATTGGAGCTTAACCCACGACATCACCAGCTGTTTGCACATCCAATGACCATAATCTCTTTCTGTTTTTTTCACCGTTCTGCAGCACTTACTATTCTCTTATTTATTTATTATTTTATTTTATGGAAGAAGCCATGGTTGTCCTATCTGAAGCAACCACAAACCAAAACCCAATTCCAACTTACGGTGCACTCATTGGTAAATCTACTTAGTGTTGGGTAAGATGTAATTGAAAACATTTTGTTTGTCTTGGGTAGTCTCTAAATAACTTTGGGTACTTATTGACTTACCAGTCTTTGCATTACAATTTGCAATTTTAATTAAACAATGTTTCCTTTAATTCCAATTGGATACAATCCGTTTCACAAATTTGTTTGGAGATTTGCTTTTGAACCTAGATATATACATATATATATATAGTTGTAGTGCTGTTGGATGTTGTGATTAGAAATGGTGGAAGGTGTTTGCGTGGCCTTGGGTTGTTGGACGAATTGAGAGAGATGTGATGAAGTAGATGGACAGTAAACCATGGTGGTGTTGCAGTGAAGAAGAGTAATGAAGAAGAGAATAAATAAATAAATAAAAAGAAGGATAAAAGTGTCATTTTCTCAATATATTTTGCACCACACGTATAATTCAGAGTGTGTCAGACACACATTGTTAATTTAGATAGATCCTGTTACTCTTACAATTCACTCCAAACTATAAGGGTGTTGTGTGGCATGTAGGCTTTCAATCCCATATTGTTCAACTTCAATATGCTTGTTGGAGGAGTGTTTGGTGGAATTCCTCCGAAGGAATATTTTTGGGGGCGTTGTGCCCATGTGGATCCATACATTTGCAAGTCTTCTAAATGTTTGTTACATTTGTTTTTATTCTGTACTCAAAAGACAGCTGTTTGATTGTTTATTCTACCATTTCAGAATGTGCTAGACATCATTATTAATTTTTTACATGCTTACATAGTGATTTTTTTTAACTCGACTTTTTATCTCAATGTCCTAGAAATAAAATTGAAACCTTTTAAGAAGTTTTGCTGTTAGAGTTACTTTCCTATAGCAGTTTGAGTAAAATTTTGTTTTTCTTTCCAAAATTTTGAATTATTTGTTGTTTCTACCGACCAAGACCCTCAAGTCTAAAATGATGAAATTATTTCCTTTTATTTATTTATTTTTTGGAATCAATGTTAGTTCTAAATATATTGATTGCATTATTTTGTTCAATGGGGGTTGTAAATTCTTGGAAAAAATTTAAAATTAACTAGGATTAATTACACTTTACCTTCCTATGATTTAGCTCAAAAAACACATTACCTCTTTATAATTTAAAAATATACACATAACATAACCTTATTGTAATTCGGAGTAAAATATAAAGTCTAACAGTCGATAACTTTTACAAAAAGTCTAAATTACCCTTATTTTGTTGTTTAATTTTCTTTTGTATGACATCACAATCCAATCTTTCTCATCGTATTGGAGCTTAACCCACGACATCACCAGCTGTTTGCACATCCAATGACCATAATCTCTTTCTGTTTTTTTCACCGTTCTGCAGCGCTTACTATTCTCTTATTTATTTATTATTTTATTTTATGGAAGAAGCCATGGTTGTCCTATCTGAAGCAACCACAAACCAAAACCCAATTCCAACTTACGGTGCACTCATTGGTAAATCTACTTAGTGTTGGGTAAGATGTAATTTAAAACATTTTGTTTGTCTTGGGTAGTCTCTAAATAACTTTGTGTACTTATTGACTTACCAGTCTTTGCATTACAATTTGCAATTTTAATTAAACAATGTTTCCTTTAATTCCAATTGGATCCAATCCGTTTCACAAATTTGTTTGGAGATTTGCTTTTGAACCTAGATATATACATATATATATATATATGTAGTGCTGGTGGATGGTGTGATTAGAAATGGTGGAAGGTGTTTGCGTGGCCTTGGGTTGTTGGACGAATTGAGAGAGAGATGTGATGAAGTAGATGGACAGTAAACCA